TACAATGGGTAGATGTGCATGAAGGGGCGATTTTTTGGTTCGTTCATTTTTGTAAGATTTATGCCATTTTCAACTTTGTATCTGTAGCTTGCTCATAGTGGAGCCTTGTGAACGCAACTCCTCCTAAAGTAATCATCAGATTTTCACCAACTTGCTCAATGTCACTACTACAAGGGGTAGATGTGCATGAAGGGACGATTTGACAGTTCTCTGATTTTTGTAAGATTTATGCCATTTTATCTTGATCTTTATATTATGTGGCGGTGTATATTTTGTCCACGGCACTCTTGTTCAAATTTCATATGAGTAAACCAAGAATGGAAAGAAGAATGGAAAAGATCCATTTTAAGGAGAAAAAAATCACAACTTGGGCCAGACAGAAACTTACACACAGTATTTGAGAATATCCATCCATTCCTTCTCAAGAAAAAGCAATAGCAAACTTTCATTGTCAAAATATAAGATGGCCTTCTATCAACACTTTTTGTTTTGCTGATCAGTCCAAAAGTCGAAAAGGCACAAGGGCTCAAGGGGCACCTGTGCATAAAATGTGAGAAAAATCAATCCTTGACTTGTCATAGAATAACAATAACAAAGAATTCTTTAGTGACAGTAGATGGACCATGGATGTAGGGCGATTCAATCATCCCACCATCTGATGATAGCTTTAGGAAGGTACGACTTGCTGATGATGAAAGAAAACAGGAAATGCTTTATACAAAATACAGATTTTCTTTTATTAAAAATGAGAAAAATAATTATCAAATAAAAAAGTTGACATGTGTACTACAACAGTAATTAAAATGTTCGCTCTTTTTGATTGATAATTCATGATCGATTTTAGAGACAAAATCATCAAACAAATATACAAGTCATTGTTTCTGGACACTGATATATACATGATATGACCCACAGATTAATATATTAGTTTATCTGTAGAACCTAATAAGCGTAGGAAAGAAAATTCTGAAACATTGTTTTGTCAATTTGCTTTTTTCCACCAAATACTGCCAATTAAGTAACATACAAGACAAATATTGCTGTGTGAAAGTAGGATTCACAATGAGGAGCACATCAACAAGGAAAATCTGATGGGTCAATAAATTCCGACTAGAATATTATATTATGTAGAAGAGAAGAGCAGTGTGTCCTATGTCAATATAACAAATCACGACACTACAAACAATTTCATTATCGTCTTCATCACGTCATAAATACACTAAATATAGATTATAAATTAAATTTTTTTATCAAATATGTTTCATTATAGTAAATGTTCATAAATAAACAACACTTCTTGAATATTTAGCACATTTTTGAAAACCCCAAATTACCAAATTTTTGACAGATAATAATTATCTAAATGAACTATTTAATATAGGAATCAGCGAATCAAACATAAAAATTTGACAAAGAATATATGAGAACTCCTAAGTTATTATACATGTGTAAAGAATTGGACCCATACAAATACTAATCCTACAATAAACATTATCTAGGATACACAGCCTGTTTGTTAAACACAAAATCTATAATGATTCATACAATAAATCATTGAAGCTCATATTCAATTAGTCATTTTGTGTAATTAATTGTATGTAACAAAATCATGAATAAGACAAGATGATTTTTCCCCAGGGTGAAATCAACTTAACTTATATATATCATGTTTGCTTTCCCTAATGATGTTTCCGACATATTTTGATTAAAATCCGCCACGGCATTAAGGAGAAGCTGCATTTTGAATCACAAATTTCAGCTAAATTTCCCTATTGGTGCACTGCTCCAAAGTCCCCAGAGGTTGAATCAACTTCATTCATATAAGAAATGATCGCCCTCTTTTAAGTTAAGTTTCAGACCAACTTTATTGAAATCCACCAAGGCATTAAGGAAGAGAAGCATCTTAAATCGAAATTGAATAATTTCCCCTTTGGGAACCCGTTACCAAGTCCCCATGGGTTGAATAAACTTTATTTATTCACATTCGATTGCTATCCTCTAATGATGCTTTCCTGAAATTTAGTAGAAATTTGTTCAGACATATGGGAGGAGAAGCATTTTAAAGTAAAAGTTTATGCACAGTGGATGATGAACAAACCTAAATGGCAATAGATCATCTTGACCCTATAGATCAGATAACCTAACTCAGCAGTCAGAAAATATATAATATATTGTTATAGATAAGTCTCTAATCAGGTTCATCATTTCAAGATAAAAACTTTTGATATTTGTTTAATACAATTAACATTGCAATATTAAATCATGTTTGGGAAGGTAATAACAACTGTAATAAAATCTGGATGGGTCAGTAGTGCTCCACTATAAAAATATTACAAACTTTGTTTACAAAAAAACAGCAGATGCTATCTCTGTACAAGTAAAGTTACTGATAGTATATGCATAAATTATCAGTTTCTTAGAGTCTCTTTCATATAATTTCTTTCTGGAAACATAGTACATAGAATACATGAATACATTAGGTGAAAAACTGAGATCTTTCTATCATAAGAACTAGTAGATATTGATATCTATATACTAATATGTAAAAGTGCCAAACTTATAAATCATAAAATAATATCACAGTATATTAAGGGCATCCTAGATGAGTAATGTTACATATTTTGGGTGCTTCAACAGCTTAGTCTGTTAAGTTTTGGCTTAGGAAGCCTCAAGTTATGATCAGAGTTGTGTGGTTTGACACTTCCTCCCCGTAGTGATTTATATATCTCAGGAAGCTGAGAAACAAACCAGTCTGCACGATTGTGGGTGTGTCCTTCGGAAAGACATTTTACCTTAATTGCTCTGGATAGCATATGACAGATCTTCTGTATGTTGTTTAGTGAGGAAGTCACTATCTACTAGAAGAGAATCTTGTCTCAAAATGACCCTGGCTGTTTACAAGGTGATAAACTCAACAAACAAGTATAACATTTCTTTGTTAGATGTTTTATAATCAAATAACAGATCAAGAATTATGGTATAATAAATTGCTTATCACATATTTTTTTCATTCAATTTAAGAAATTTACCTGACTCCCAATACAAATTAAATCACGATAACGTGATTTACATATAAATTTAAAAAATCCAGAGTAACCAGAGCAAATCTATTGATATTGGTAATTTATTTATCAAAAAAGAGTATCAGTGAAAGTGATGAATGCTCCTTGAAAACAACTTTATTGGACACAAAAATTTAACAAAGGGCAGCAATTCTGTTCAGGTCCTTAACTTAGTGTACTGTACATTTTCTTAGTATGACAAAAGTATACACCACATTTCATAGTATCCTAGTTTTAATGTAAGCAAAGTTATGCCCATGGCACAAAATTTCAATAAAGGGCAATAACTGTAATTAAGGGGTTGTGGGCCTAACATTGGTACACTGTACATCATATAGTATGATAAATGTATATACCAAGTTTCATTATCCTAGCTTATATGCAGGAAAAGTTATGCTCTGGACAAAATATTTTTAACAAAGGGCAATAACTGTAACTGAGAGGTCAAGGGGTTTTAATTTGGTACACAACACATTGTCTTACTATGATCAATGTATACACTAAGTTTCATGATCCTTAAAAATTGTTTGACACTCAATATAAAAGTTTTGGTTACAAGTACTTCATATATTACAGCACAAATATGTTTCAGTACTTAGTAAATCTAAGATGTCCTTATATGGAGGGATAAAAATATAATTGAAATTATGACTTAGAATTTGAATTAAAGATGGCAAGATTACAAATCATTTAAAGAGAAAATAACTTTTACACTAGCACAATATACTAATCACTGTCAATTAAAAGGAAAATCTGAAATGTCTGTACAGTCTTTGAGGGAAAGCAACTAAAATTGTCAGCTAAAAGCTAATTTAATTAAGTACTACTCCTACAAATGTGAAACAGGCTTTTTCCCAAGGAAAATGTAAAACAAAATACAAAATGTTGATACCTTGTACACATCACATGTACCAAACCTATCAAATATTTTTTTTTAAAAGTCATCCCCAAATAAATTAATTGTAATTATTATATACACCAGGTATTGTTTAATCATCTTGTACATGATGAAGTTATATCATAAACCTTAACTATGATTATTTGAGATCTTTAAGAAATGGTACATAGGTAAGAAAAAATATCCTACTACTTATATTAATATTGCACATTTAAAAAAAAATAACAAAAAACAAGTATTATATAAAATAATGATTTTTAGCAAAATATCTGATAAATACTTAATTTCAATCAATACCTTCAGGTACATAAAACATGAAACCAGTAGAATGATAAATTATAAATTAATCATATCCCTTACACATGTATATTAACTTGAAAACCTGTGGAATGATAAATCATATATTAATCATGTCCCTTACACATGTATATTAACTTGAAAACTTGTGGAATGATAAATTATATATTAATCACGTCCCTTACACATGTATATTAACTTGAAAACCAGTGGAATGATAAATTATAAATATTTTATTCACATATAAAATCTTTCATAACAATTAGTCTGTGTTATATCTGTCATAACAAAGTTTCACAACTTTCCTCAAAACTGAGGACTTATCACTAAAGTCCCTATAAGTTGTAAAAAAAAACATAAGGTTTTGTTTGACATATAAAAAGCGAAAAAAAAAAGTCACAACCTACTCAATAATGTGGCGTTTTTTGCAGCCATCTTATGTTAGATAACACTTCCTTTGTGTTTGTCCTAATGTATACAAATTACAGTATTATATACAATTACATTTCTTTGGTCAATGCTATAAACAGAACAAAATAACAGATAAAAAATGTAAAAAGTAAATGGAGATCATGTCTATTTCAATATTTACAGGAAAATATACTAAATTATTTATCATTATACCTTCTGCACTAGTATGGCTTTCTGAATACCAGATCAATTTTCAATCCAGACATTATTTTTCATATCGTTATAGTCAGTAAACAAGGAGTTATTACCACCATGTAAGATAGTCATCTCCATTAAATAAGTCGTTCTCCTGTTGTCACATCTAACATTTTTTCCAGAGGTATGGAAGTGTTAACGGAATTCTCCTCTTCCGATGGTCGATAACGTCCATGCATTTTCCTACTCTTCTTCATATACCACGCAATATATCCAAGGACAAGTGCAATGAGAATGATGATGATAATGACAGAGGCAGCAACAACTCCCCCACTGCCATCCTCCAGAGCAGTTACAGACAATTGTGTCTCACAGTATGTACCTACAAGGAAGAATATACAAAAGTGAAATCAATAAGGAAACCTTCATCAATATTGATTTCATATCTCAACAAAAACAAGAGTATCAGTAAAACTGATGAATGCTCCCTGAAAACAATGTTATTAGAGACAAAATATTAACAAAGGGCAATATTTCTGTAATTAAGGGATTGCAGATCCTAACTTTGGTATACCGCATATTTTCTTAGTATGATCAATGTATACACTAAGTTTCATCATCCAAGTTTAACTGCAAACAAGTTTTGCTTTGGACACAAAATTTTAACAAAGGTCAGTAACTCTGTAATTGAAGGACCAAGGGCCTTGAATTTAGTACACTGCACATTGTCTTAGTATGACCAATATATACACCAAGTTTCTTGATCCATGCTTCAGTTTGGGCATACTTATGCTCCAGACACAAAAGAACAGATGGAAAGACATCTAGACTGACAAGGCAGCAACTATATGCTCTCCGGGAAATTTTTGGGGAACATAACAAGAGGTCCCATGGGCCACCATCCCTTACCTACAACTGGAATGCTATTTGAAACAAGAAATCCCACAATGATTTTGACGACCATCATTGTTTTAAGTTTATTTGCTTTTTGAAAGTTGGATCTTTTTCCTTCTTTTCTCTGTTTTTGCTCTTAATGACTTAAAGTAGAATATTTGAGTTGAAGTCAAGGGTATTGCAGAAAAATAGGACCATATAAAAAGTGTCTGCCCTCTGCAATAATGGTTACATATTAGTCATATCAGTCTAAGTAACATATTAACCTCACATGTACCAGTTGACCGGTTACCTCATTAAATTTCTCACTCATGCGTAACACTCTACATGTCACTATAACACTGATATTTGTTGGTGAGATAACTGCTCAAGAAAGGACAAGTCATGGAGACGGAAACCTGTAACCAACCAACAACCAAGAAATCTATGCAGTTAGACAACTTAGATAGATAAAAAAACTATACTTTCGCCCCACAATCTGGTGGTGACAACTATACTGGTGTATGTTTATCCTATCCTGACTTGTGTGGGTTTCTTGAATGTACTTACCTGTATGTGTGTCTGCACAGACACACTCATATCCTCCATCTTTGTTGGCACATGTTGCACTACCCATACATTGGTGGTCAGTCTCACACTCATTGATGTCGATATCACAGAGAGTGCCACTGTAACCTGTTCCTGAACAGATGCAAGTGAATGACTCCCGTTCGTCCACGCATGTTCCATTATTTCTGCAGGGCACCGAAGCACACTCATCAGTCATCAACTCACAACGGTCACCATGGTAACCAGTACCACTGCAGTCACATGTGTATCCATTTATCTTATCCATACACTGGCCATTGTTTTGACATGGGTTAACGAGACAATCATTGATTGGATATTCACAGGTGTTGCCTTGGAAACCGGTATTTTTGCAGTCGCAGATGTAGCTGTTGATACGGTCCTCACACAGGCCGCCATTTTTACATGGTTGACTGACACAATCATCAATGTTTTGACCGCAAGTTTGTCCTGTCCAGCCAGCTGGGCAGATACAGCGGAATGAGCCAATGAAGTTCAGACAACGACCTGCGAAACATGAAAACAGTTCTTTAGTGTTCAATAGAAAATGATTAAATAAATTTTCATGGCAACTTATCAAAAGTTTGTTTAGAGCAAGGCTGGTCACACAAATGTATGTAGAAAGGATGGAAAAATTCAATCAGATCAATTTGATGAAAAATAAAATAAAAGAAGTCTTAAAATTTCTTACCTTCATTAAAACATGGATTAACACCATCACATTCGTCCACATCTTGGTCACAACGTTGACCTGTGAACCCAGTGTCCACACAGTTACATGTGTAATTACCCATGGTGTTATCACATTGTCCACCATGTTCACATGAAGATGGGTTTTCACACTCATTAACGTCCTCCTGACACGTGTCACCACGGTAACCACTTCCGTCACAAACACATTTGTAGGAGGTAGCATAGGTGGTACACTCCACACGGTTGTCACAAAGGAGGCGCTGACAGGTTTCGTTGTGCCAGCCACAGTAATCCACAACGTCAGTACAGTCACACAGCCCTTGGTAGCGACAAAGTCCATTGTTAGCACACGGACTGCTGAAGCAGGAATCAACAATGTCATCACAGTATATGCCACTGTATCCAGGACGACAGATACACTTGTATCCCCCAATGCCATCAACACAAGTGGCTCCATGCTGACAACTGTTGTTTACACATTCATCAATGTTTGCCTCACAGTGAACTCCTCTGTACCCTGTCACACACTCACACTTGTAAGTACCGTTAAGATCAATCGCCTGACACTGAGCACCATGTTGGCAAGGACTTGATGTACAACCCCGTCTGTCCTGTTCACAGTGCTGGCCCTGAAATCCTTCAGCACAATTACACTTATACTCATCCACCAAATCCACACAGGTACCATTGTTTACACAAGGCGTGCTGGAACACTCATCTGTCTCATTTTGACACTGTTCACCATAGTAACCTGGCTGGCAGTTGCAATGGAAGCCCGAATAGAAATTAAAAGGAGATTGTGAACTCTCCACACAGGTGGCACCATTTAAACATGGATCAGACAGACACTCGTTAATATCTGTTTCACAATGAAAACCACTGAACCCTTCCATGCATACACATAAATAATCTGTCTCTGGAAGTGATGAGTTATAAAAACAAGAACCACCATTTTGACATCGATTGATCTCACACTTATCAATGGCGAGTTCACAGTTTGTACCTGTATAATGCTTGCCACACCTGCACAAGTGAGAGGTTTTATCGTTGATACATTCCCCACCATTCTCACAAGGCTTGTCCACACAGAAGTTTGTGAACTGACAGAAAGCACCATAATGTTGTGACATACAGTGACATTCATACGCAGTTTCCTTGGAAACGCAGGAAGCATTATTTTGACAGTCATGATTCATACAGAAGTTGAAGTTTTGACATTGCCTTCCTGTATACTGTTGTAGACAGGAACAGTTGTAATCTCCGTTGTCTGGATGAGGAAGACAGGTGCCCCCATTGAAACAGGGGTTTGAAGCACAAATGTATTTATACTCACACATCTCACCAAAGTAGTCTGTGGGACAAACACATTTGTAACCATTGATGAGGTCCAGACACGAAGCTCTATTTTGACATGGATGATTAGCACACTCATCGATGTCATGAGAGCAATTTTTCCCTGACCAACCTGGCAGACACAGACAGGAGTAGTTAGAGGGAAATATATCTGTACAGTTAACTGTGTTACCGGGAACACAGTAGTTCTCCTCACACATCATCTTCACTGATTCACAGTACAGCCCTGTATAGCCTTCAACACACTGGCACTTGTAGGTCATATGACCATCTATGCAGGAAGCTCCATTTTTGCACTGGTTGTCAACACAATCGTCTACACTCGTAGAACAATCAAGGTCATACCATCCAGGCAGACATGGACACTCATAGGAATTCCAGATGTCTGTACAGGCTGCGTTTATTGGACAGGGGTCAGGGTTACAAACGTCATTTCCGTGACAACCTAATTCCACCTTATAAATCCCAACGACAACCAGACCAGTGCTGAGATCACTACCGTCAATATAGTCCAGTGATTTCCCATTAAAACTTATGTCTCGGAGACAGCCCAGGAAATAGCCAATCAGGTAGATAGACCCTGTGAAATATAATTAAAATTCCATGATAATGAACAGCACATATCTATGTAAGGGATTGACCACCAAACAATTCTTCTTGATGGCAAATTTTATATATTAGGAATTTGTTATGACAAACTAATGCTTTCAAAAGACATATGGAAATGTATTGAGTAAAGAAGTAAACATGGCATATGAGCAATAATTTTTCATGTATTAAATATAACTTTTACAACCTGTTATACCAATCTAGAATTTTTCTCTCCAATAAAGTCTAGAAAATGTAAGGCAAGAAAGCTCCAACACACTCACCTATGTAGAATTACTTTTGTTACCAAACTTCTAAAGGTGATTATGTTCCCTTCAACCTTTAAACTCCTACATGATTTTCAAGTATGAACATACTTCATAAACTGATTTTGATTATCAAGATGTCTTGACTTGTTGTGTAAAGATTAATCAATTTGAAATCAGATTAGAAAGTAAAGTGACCTTGTGCATCAAGGAACATTTAATTTTCATGATTGTTCTTCACCTAAATATTAATAAAAATCACTGAAATGACTTGACAGGCATTCACTAACTAATGATGGTGACCTTAAATCTGGCACCCTGAAACATTATCTGATTTGAAGATTATCATGGAGTGTGTTTAGCTAAAGCATTGGCACTGAATTGGGATGAGATGGACATGGGTGACAGCAAAAGGTCTTTTTGATAGGGAATAGACCTGATTGAAATATGCTATACCTTGCCGAAATGGTTTAGCTCCGATGTAAACTTCAATGATTGGAACAAAATCAGCTCTGAAGGGGTTAAATGATGTGTTGAGGACCTGCGACAGCCCATCCATTGCCACAACGATGTCAGAACCTTGTCTCCTCCACTGGACATGATGAAATATGGCATCGGAGATGATGACCGGAAACTCTAAAACATTTTCTGTAAAGGCAACATGAGATGTCATTACCTGATGTAGGTTACAACACTGTAGACCATTGTGAAACTATAAACAGGGAAACATTCGCTTAAGATGTTGTCATCCTTAAAGAATGTTTTGTCTTACAGTAACAGAAACCTGCGTTTTAGCATTAACATCAAAATTTTGCCTACCTTTAATTTTTGCTTAAATGGTGGAAGGGACAAATTTTAAAATGTGTTGAGTTTCCCCATATACAGTGTATATATTGCTATTATAAAAATTTTTTTGTTGGAATCTAAATTTTATCATTACCCAAGATCTCAAAGTAACTTCAACTTTGCTCACTAGTAGACACTACTGCTCTAAACAACCAATATGAACAGATGATGTGTTTTATTTCATTAGAGAGGTAAGGCTTTAAGAGAGTTAGGAATTATACATAAAGGGACAATATCAAGTGGTCTGAAATGTCCAGTAAAATATCTTGACAACACCATAAGTAATTGTTTTTGTCTTGTAATATTATATTTTAAACAAATTGTATGGACTCCATTTTTATAAAACAACAAACATTAATAGGTAGAGATAGATATACCATATTACCTTGACCTTCAAATCCTGCCACAACTTGTAGAGCTTGTCTGAACAGCCTAAACTCCAGACTGCCTAGAATCTGACCATTATTGGACAGAAACTGAATATACATCATGGTTGATGTGTGCTGTCTGGTCTTAAAGTCTAACGTCCCTTCATCCCCAAAAGGTAATTTCTTGCGATCAAGTTGGAGATGGGCATAGCTGTTTAGGCCATTAAACGATGCTGCAGCAACTAGACATACAAATATTATATTAGGTTATTTAAATAGTAAATATTTTCTAATACCATAGTACTGTAAATGAAATTTAACACAACCAAATTTTGGTGTCACCTTTTGAAAAATCTGTCTAATAATGAATTTGTGCATTCACAATACATACATATGCTTTCTATACAGCACACAGAATCTGCACTTGATACTATCCTAATTTAGCGCAATACTTTAAAGGTGGAAAGTGCTAAAATAAAATAACTTTCAATATATATATAATTACAGTACAGTGACAGACTTTTTACACATATATTATTCCCCAGGTGATAGTTATGATAATTTGACTTCAGGGACATAAACTAAAGAGGTGTGAACAATAAAATGGCAAGTCATAATACAGTGACTATTTTAGGAATTATTTTAATATAATAACCTGTTCTCTTAGAAATATAGTTTATAATATAACAGAATCACACAGTATGGTTCAATCTACCTTCTGTACAGTTATATCCTTGGTAGTTGGCAGGACAGGTACAAGAATGGCCATTCCACCCACCATTACAAGCACCATTGTTCTGACAGGGTGATGGTCGACACACACCTTCTCTGGGGCACCCCGGTGTAGCCATGGGTGGATCATTACCAAATATGGAAGTTTGGCTTGTCTGGAGGTCTACTTGGTGATTGTTGATGATCAAATCTTTGATGCAGCCGTTAAAACTGTTAAAAAGAAGATCTCAGAGGGCTGTCACAACATCTCATACAAAAGATAACGTTTAGGTGTGACACACACATATTCATGATAACAACAAGGGAAAGACGTCTATTAGTGAAGACAGTGTTGAGAATACAGTAACCAGTGATCCATTGTAATTCAGTGTTATGTTTATCTTATATCAATGCGTTAGCTCATGTATTGATGATTCTAAATTAAAGTAATTCTCTGTTATAGTAAACTACTCTAACACAAAAAGTATAGTGTAAAATAACATATAATTTCATTTGTTTTTCTAAAGCCCACTTCCAACTACAGAACTGAGTTAGTTCATCATTAACTTTCCAAGAACAGAACCTCTGAGTTTAATCTAGAGAGTAACTCTGACTACAGAACCTCTGAGTTTAATTTAGAGAGTAACTCTGACTACAGAACCTCTGACTTTAAATTTAGAGAGTAACTCTGACTACAGAACCTCTGACTTTAAATTTAGAGAGTAACTCTAACTACAGAAACTCTGAGTTTAATTTTGTTACAAACTCTGACTACAGAGCCTTTGAGTTTGTCATGAACTCTCTAACTACAAGACCTCTGAATAACTAAAGCCACTGCCTGCTCACCTCTCATATGTAGGAAGTGGTGTTTCCCTCACTCGCCACTTGTTTGCACCTGGATGGTCATGCAGTCGACCAAAAAACACTGGCATCTGAATGGTCAGGAAATTACCGACAGTTCCACTGGAGGTCCCTACAACTCCATTGCTATTGCTGGAAACTGTAATTGCAAAGTAAAATGTAAAGAAAAGGCATTTGGAAAATTTGCATGAGTTTATATAAGATATATCTAACTTTTACATTCAGTGCTAACATGCAATTTAGTTATGCTGGTTAAGAATCAAGACATTTAATGAATAATTACACTGAAGTCTCCACTGACTTGTGCTCATGAATAAACGTACTTTATCACTTTAGTGTATCTGCTAAATTGGTTTACTCCTAGCCTTCTGCTGAAATAGAACTTGTCACACAAAAATATTTACCTTGAAGTCTATACTGGCCTGCTCCCAGCCTCATATTTATATAGAACCAATCACCATGGTCTAAGTTCTCTCCAACTTGACTCAAATACTCAGAATTTGAAGCCAGGATTTGCAGCCTCAGCTGTCCTTTATCTAGTATCAAGGCCATGGATTCAAACCCCAGCTGTGGAGATAAGAGACAAATCACCGACATATTTTCTAAAATTTGAAAAATTTGATGTCACTTTGAATCAAACATATCCTATTGTATATCATGCATTTTCAGAAACAACAACAGAACTTTTCATGTAAAAACTTATTTCTAAAAATATCAACACTATGATTTATAAATCAACCTTTATAAATGTATTAACCAGCCCTAATTGTTTAAAAATTTGACCCTCTATTGTTCTGGAATGTATGATTAGGATTCAATTCTTCTAGCAGTGATTGTAACTGGTGACTGTTGTAAGTAAGGCCTAAATCAGTTATATCTATGTCTCATGGTGACCGTTGTAAGTAAGGCCTAAATCAGTTATATCTATGTCTCATGGTGACCGTTGTAAGTAAGGCCTAAATCAGTTATATCTATGTTTCATGGTGACCGTTGTAAGTAAGGCCTAAATCAGTTATATCTATGTCTCATGGTGACCGTTGTAAGTAAGACCTAAATCAGTTATATCTATGTCTCATGGTGACCGTTGTAAGTAAGGCCTAAAACAGTTGGTGACCGTTGTAAGTAAGGCCTAAATCAGTTATATCTATGTCTCATGGTGACCGTTGTAAGTAAGACCTAAATCAGTTATATCTATGTCTCATGGTGACCGTTGTAAGTAAGGCCTAAATCAGTTATATCTATGTCTCATGGTGACCGTTGTAAGTAAGGCCTAAATCAGTTATATCTATGTCTCATGGTGACTGTTGTAAGTAAGGCCTAAAACAGTTGGTGACCGTTGTAAGTAAGGCCTAAATCAGTTATATCTATGTCTCATGGTGACCGTTGTAAGTAAGGCCTAAATCAGTTATATCTATGTCTCATGGTGACTGTTGTAAGTAAGGCCTAAAACAGTTGGTGACCGTTGTAAGTAAGGCCTAAATCAGTTATATCTATGTCTCATGGTGACTGTTGTAAGTAAGGCCTAAAACAGTTGGTGACTGTTGTAAGTAAGACCTAAATCAGTTATATCTATGTCACATGGTGACCGTTGTAAGTAAGGCCTAAATCAGTTATATCTATGTCTCATGGTGACCGTTGTAAGTAAGACCTAAATCAGTTATATCTATGTCTCATGGTGACCGTTGTAAGTAAGGCCTAAATCAGTTATATCTATGTCTCATGGTGACCGTTGTAAGTAAGACCTAAATCAGTTATATCTATGTCTCATGGTGACCGTTGTAAGTAAGGCCTAAATCAGTTATATCTATGTCTCATGGTGACCGTTGTAAGTAAGGCCTAAATCAGTCATATCTATGTTTCATGGTGACCGTTGTAAGTAAGGCCTAAATCAGTTATATCTATGTCACATGGTGACCGTTGTAAGTAAGACCTAAATCAGTTATATCTATGTCTCATGGTGACTGTTGTAAGTAAGACCTAAATCAGTTATATCTATGTCTCATGGTGACCGTTGTAAGTAAGGCCTAAATCAGTTATATCTATGTCACATGGTGACCTTTGTAAGTAAGACCTAAATCAGTTATATCTATGTCTCATGGTGACCGTTGTAAGTAAGGCCTAAAACAGTTGGTGACCGTTATAAGTAAGGCCTAAATCAGTTATATCTATGTCTCATGGTGACCGTTGTAAGTAAGACCTAAATCAGTTATATCTATGTTTCATGGTGACCGTTGTAAGTAAGGCCTAAATCAGTTATATCTATGTCTCATGGTGACCGTTGTAAGTAAGACCTAAATCAGTTATATCTATGTTTCATGGTGACCGTTGTAAGTAAGACCTAAATCAGTTATATCTATGTTTCATGGTCCAGGTGTCCTAGTTCTACATACCGTGTAGGCTATAACACCAGAGGAACTAATGGCTGACACCCTTAGGGACATCTGTGTGATCTCCTGGATCCCAGCAAAATGTAGCATAGAAGTCAGAACAAAGTGAGCTTCATTCTGGTGCTGACAGACACTATGATCAAATCCAACAGGGCAATCACAATAGCGTCGATTCCAGGCGTCGTGACATATGCCGCCATTCTGACAGTAATCTGGTGAACAGTAGTTGTGTGTTGCGCAGCCAGCCAATGGAAGAACAGATGACAAATTCGATGACATCAAGCTGATTTTATTCCCACTGATGACCAAATCCTAAACAACAAAACCATGAGTGGTGAAATTTCCTAACAATAAATAAAATTTTTATGCATTGATTACCAATTACAAGGTCATGAAACAACTAAGCACTATGTTTTGCGAGGAAAAATGTTGGCTTTATTTCTATTCAAATAAAGTTTTCAGTAGAATGTTATTTATGGCTATTTCATAAGCAATTTAATTACTCAAAAGAAATTCTTTAACAGAGCCAGGGAAAAACATATCTACCTCAGATCAGAATATGGAAATGGCATTAAAAATGGCATTTGTTAGAATTTTTATTGAGTTTACTAAATAAGGCTGGGCTTATTACCACGCCTAGTTTATTGACAGCTATTTTATCAATCATATTGTCAACTATTCCTAATCCAAACAAAATACAATTTAAAAATGGGCGATCAATTTCTACATAACTATGACCTACCCCTTGACAACCCACAAATCCTTGTGGTATGGTGATCTTGCTACGCTGGTATGGGGTGAGAGTTGGAAAACCCCCCACATACAGAAAGTCTTCCAGCAGCCATCTTTTGTCAGAATCTGTGACTTTCAGTGACAGTTGGCATATTCTGGTGTCATAACAACTATTAGGATCAAGAGTGATATTTGTGATGGGTGATGCTAGTGACACCTGGAGTGTGTGGTTGTAAACCCCCAAAATAGGGGAGGGAAGTGGGATATGACCTGTCTTCGTCTCATCACCAATGTTTAATGAAACTATTACAGTCTTCTCCATCAGTTCTAAGCTCACATGCTGGTAACTGCCATCACTATTTATCTGTAAATAAACATTGTGTTGTTTATAGTAGAAGCACAGTTAATCTGCTTTCATTATGATATTCATAAATCATGTGTCTGGATGGCAGACTAATTATTCATTAATTTATAACCAATCTGTCCCCTAATACAATGATTTTATAACTAAAATACATGATTTTCCAACATGAAAACTTTGAGACAAATTTGTCCAATGTCTTGTTTAAATCAGTCTTTCAGTCACATGATTAGTTTTGTGAAAATGTTATGTTTTCAAAAAGTGTTCCCAGTGTGCCAGGAAAATCAAATATAATAGTTCCATGGTAGGGATCTGTTCTTAATAGACATCTGGTAGCACACATTAATTTGTTAGTATGCTGCAAGTTTTCTTTAGTATATTATAACATGTTTTAATCAATGTTCTACACACATCAAAACGTAATCATTGATACAAAACAAAATTTCATTATATAACTTACTCCTGATGTTAACAAAAGGACCCCTGATGGTACGGATGTGATGAAAGACAAGACTATTGTCACATTATCCACTGATCGCTTCTTCCTCTGTCCTGTGCTGACCAGGGAATACAAGGAAGGTAACTGAACGTAGCTTTGACTGTCAAATGTTGCAAAGTGAACAAACTGACAGGTGTCTCCAGATACACCCTTTGGACACTCACATTGGAACTGATTGACTCCTGGCTCTGTGCAGGTACCACCATGTTGGCATGGTGATGGGAAACACTCTTTTATATCTTCCTTGCATGTTTTACCTGCAATACATATTATATGAAGTTTTTATCACATTAAAATTCACAGCTGAGGAAAAGAGAACTAAAAACATTCAACAATCAAAATCAGTGAATAATCTTTTGTCTAGCTGGAATAATATTGTATTGCACACTTAAGGCTCACCTGTAAACCCTGGTGGACACAGGCAGGAGTAACTATTGACTTCGTCCTGACAGGTGGCACTACCATAACATGGATTTCCAATACAGTCATCAATATCTACTTCACATGTAAGCCCTGAAACAACGAAAACAGTTTAGTGTATTGTAACTCAAAACATTATATCGTAAGGCTAGCTGAGGCACATGTTGTTTTAAGGTCATAATTTTGGGAATTCTGAAAGACTAAATGATCTATTTATCTGTAAACATTTGTATTAAAACATCATTTATTTAAAAAGAAAATAATATGTTAAAATTACACAATAGAAGAATGATTAAAGTACAAGCAAGCAATATATGTTTATCTCAAAAGAAATACCATATTTTAAAAAAATGACATAATACAAGAATGATTTGAGTACAAGCTAGAAATAGCTTATTTACCTGTAAATCCAGGTAGACAGTGACAGGTGAAACTATTGTTCCCATCCATACAGGTAGCATTGTTAACACAAGGGTCAGCACCACACTCATTGATCTCCACACCACATGTGGTACCTGTTAACATCATAGAAACATCAAACTGAAATACTGGTAATACAGACAGTATGTATCTCAGTATTATACTGAGTTTTATATAACGTAGCTGGAAACTTAAGTTAGGAAGGTGTGTCATTATTATTAATCTTATCATATCATGAATAAGTATCACCAAAAAAAATTTGGCATGAATGAACTAATGTTAGTTCAGTTAAGCTACTCATTAAATATTCCAAAAGCTTCCTATGCACTAAATGAAAGTATTTCGGTATAAGAGGGGTTATTGGGGCCTTAAACAAAATTCATAGTAACTTAAGAAATGTTGACATAACTACCTGTATATCCTGGCTGACAAGTACAGGTGTACTTATTAACCCCATCAACACAGGTGCTGCCTTGACGACAGGGGTCAGGGTCACAATCATTATAATTTACTGAACAATTAACTCCTGTGAACCCTGGTTCACAGATGCACATGAAGTCATTGACAAGGTCATGGCAGGTGGCATTGTTTTCACAGGGTTGATCTAGGCACTCGTCGATGTCAAGGTCACATAGTTGTCCTAAAATAAAGAGTATTTGTCATTTTTTATTTATCTGTTTTAGTTTTGATTCAAACTAGCACCAACAGCTGATCTTCTCATCACAGACATTTTCCTTATCTCTGGTTTATAAAAATATATCTTTGGAGATTTCCTGTGAGAAATCAGTATTAATGTATTTGATGGCATGGCTTTCACTTTAGCTTGTATTTTACCCAGTTTGATTCTGAAACAAGAGCTATTTGAGAATAGCATAGCTTCACATTGACGACAAATTTTGATCACATGAATATCAACTGTAATTCAAAGCTACACATAAATTCAAATTATACAAATCAATTGAAAAAATAAATAAGATTAGAAAGTCAAAGTTGCCTGTTTGGACCAAAACATTATTAATTTCTCAATACTTGGAGCAGAACTTTAACTACACAAAAGCTATATGTTCAATTAAAAAGCTGATATCCATTAAAAAAAGTTGATATAATTCACTTTACTAAATATATCACACATCACACTATGAAAAACAACCCACATACCAAATATCATCATCACCATCCTAGTAAATCTAGGTGTGTACTAATATTGGTGTTGGATTTACCTGTAAATCCAGGTGTACAGGTACAGGTAAAGTTCCCTGCCACATTACTACAGGTAGAGCCATGCTGACAGGGTGATGGGTTACAAGCATCCACAACAGTTTCACAGAGCTGTCCAGTTGTTCCTGCCAAAAATAACAACACCAACTTTGCATAACTGAAATATTTTTATAAGAATAGTTTGTTTGCTGGGTTTATCATCCCGTCAACAGCAAAAGCCAGATCTCTTTGAAACAGCCGGTGGCTACCTCAGTGAACCACATATGTGAGGCCAATCGCAAGATATTCAGAGAAATCTGGGTACACAACAACTGTAGAATAAGACAGTTCATTACCCTGTTTCATGAGAAAAAAAAATTTAACAAAAATTTTGGTGTATTTGTAATCTATTAAAGTATATCTAATATTAAAGTTAACAGAAAAAAACAAACCTGTGTAACAGCTACACAATGGTGGACCCCCAAGTGTTTCCTGACATGTACCATTGTTCTGACAGTGTGTCTTGTCACACTCCTTCACGTCAGTCTCACAGTGGGTCCCTTCCCAGAAATCCCCACATACACATAGGAAGCTGCCTGGCAGGTCCACACATGTGGCACCATTCTGACAGTTCAGAGGGTCCAAACACTCCTTTATGTCTGCTTCACATGTACTACCTGTCCAACCTGGTGGACACTCACACCTCTCACCTGTAACAGATATTGACTCATTAATTACTTTCATTACCTGATTTCACAGCCAGATATCATACATCAGTCATTATTTCATATCACATAATATCCACTGTTATATTCATATGAATTATTCCTATTATAATTACATATTATATTCACAGTACTTATCCAAATTCAATTAAGGTAAGTAAAATATTTACGAAAATTTATGAAAATCGCATCATCTCAATTTCCAGATGATATGTTTATGGACAATATTAACTTGGTTCAGGAAGATTTACCTTTGGAGGTGCTGTTACATGTTCCTCCATTTAGACAGGTGAGAACACATGTGCTGACCTCAGTCTCGCACATCTGTCCTGTGTACCCAGTAACACAGGAACAAGTATACCCTGCTCGACCATCTGTAAATTCCACACATGTTCCTCTATTTTGACATGGGTCTGAACTACACTCATACACATCACCTTCGCATGTATCTCCAAGGAAACCTGGTGGGCACTGACAGGTATAGAATGGGGGAGTGGTTAGGTTCCCTACACAAGTGGCCCCATGAAGACAAGGTGATGGGTCGCAGTAGTCTGTACGTATCTCACACAGTAGACCTGCATATGCATCCAAACACCGACACACAAATCGGTCACCTTCATCTACACATGTCCCATCATTTAGACAAGGGTTGCTATGGCAATCATCAATATGTGTCTCACATTTACTTCCTGTCATGCCTGCAGGGCACTCGCACCTAATGAGCAAGCCAATATTGAAATCTTAGATACATCAGCTGATAACTTTAGGATAAGAAATGCATGAGGTTTCAGAATAACACTTTTTGAAAATTTTTTGTATGCATGTTTTATTGAGTATGTTGATATACTATGCTTACTACAACTGGGGATAGGCAGTTGAATTATGAGGAAGTTACATGGTTAGGTATAACATTACCTGTATTTGTTCACATCATCCACACAGACTTGGTAGTCCTGACAGAGTTCAGGTCTACAATCATCGATGTCTGTCTCACAGGTTGTTCCGGAGTACCCTGGGGCACAGAGACACTGGAAGCTGTTGAGGGTTATGTCAGAACAGGTCGCTCCATTCTTACAAGGATTACTGTCACACTCATTTACGTCAATCTCACAGCGAGGACCAGAGTACCCTATGGAGGAGAATATGATGTTACATAGTCTTACAGGTTACACAGACCAAAAACAAGAGATCCTTGAAGAATCAAGTGATTGGACTATTCAGTATTTTGTGATAAACAGAAACAAAAACTTTTCAATGCAAAAATACAATATGGCCACTGGTCACTTTCCTCTAAATCTGTCTGCACAGAAATATTTGTACTTTGACACATGATAACATTGTATGATTTAACAAAGTATTGTTTGACCATCATGTACATGGTTACGCTTACCTGGTGTACATGTGCAGTTAAAGGCATCGATGTCATTGTAACATGTTCCCCCGTTACGACATGGCGAGGAGGCACATTCATCTATGTCTGATTGGCATTGCTCACCATGGTAACCAGGCTTGCAGTAACATGTATAGCCACCTAAAAGAATGTATATGTTATTCAAGTAAGAAAGCAAAAAGCAACTGAATTTCAGCAAAATTAAGCATGAATTGTAACGGCCATTGGGCACCAAAAACAAATGAGAGAAGTATAAAGAATTAACAACCCCTAATTAAAATCATAGGTAAGGATAATTTCCTTTCTGTTTGAAATGTTTCAAAGAGCACATTTCTTCGGCTAAAATTATATCTCATAGAGAGTTCTCATTATGTGTAAAGAGACACTCCAATCTAGACACTTTAGTATCCAACAGACACTTCAGTATCCAACAGACACTTTAGTATCCAACAGACACTTCAGTATCCAACAGACACTTCAGTATCCAATAGACACTTCAGTATCCAACAGACACTTTAGTATCAAACAGACACTTTAGTATCCAATAGACACTTCAGTATCCAATAGACACTTTAGTATCCAACAGACACTTTAGTATCCAACAGACACTTCAGTATCCAATAGACACTTTAGTATCAAACAGACACTTTAGTATCAAATAGACACTTTAGTATCCAACAGACACTTTAATATCCAACAGACATTTCAGTATCCAATAGACACTTTAGTATTCATAGACACCCAGCTCTAGATCATATCTTATAGATATTTCCAGATGTACACAGAGTCAAGTAGAAGGAAAATGATGGTAGAAACATCTTTTTTAAATCAATACATTTGTTAAATTTGATACGTACGTGGAACATCTCTTTGTAAATTGTTTACTGTATGTAATGGGACAAAGCTGCCCAAACTTTGGTATAATAATCCCCTCCAGACCTGGTAATGTACTTAAAAGTTATTGAGAGTGTCCTTTAGTACCCAAGCTAAGACCTGGAAGCCCTTTCTATATCTAGTAATATTACACTGAAGTGAATAAGCCTGCTCTATTGGTTTATTGATGGGGCAATTAAATGCATGCGATATGTCTATAAAATCACTTCCCCGCATGTCTGATCTAGTGGGGCATCACTAAGACTTGGGAATTATAGAATCCTTGATGGCTTTCTGGGCCTCAAACACGCATGTTCAATGCTAGTTTATTACAAACATACAGCATGCAAATAGACACTGTAAAAGTGTCTAGTGTCTCTTGGTCTCCTGCAGGGTTTCAGAAATGCTAAACCAACCACTATACTGACACACCAACATTTACACTGGAGATATATAGCTAGACCTTCACAAAATAATATGTACTGTTATACGTTTGTACATTCTTCTTCATCAACATTTGGGTTAGGAAAATCTGAACGCTGCATTTTAAGCCTCAAGTCTACTTGGATTAGAAAGATTCTGTTCTTAAAATATTTCACATTGTATAACTAAGGTTATGTGGATATGTGTGATATTTGGCGTCAGAATCTATGACTAACAATGCAACCTGCAAATGGAGGTATAAACACAGTAATTTTACCTAGCTGTGAAGTGTATGGTGAATGCAGTTTTACCCACACAGTAATCTTAACTACCTGTGGCTGTAGGTTTATTCACACACTCTACAATACTTTTGCCTACCTGTAGAGTTGTCTACTTATAGCAATTTTTCTTACCTGTAGGATTGTCCACACACAAAGCGTTCTGTCCACATGGGTCTTTGATACAGCTCCTGACCACGGCCTCACACCTGTCCCCAATGAAGCCATCCACACAGCTACAGGTAAACCCCTCCACACCCACATGGCAGGTCCCTCCAAACAGGCACGGCCCACTCAAACAGGGGTCGAGAAGCGAATCACACTCTGCACCCGTGGCACCTGTACATTAGACAGTAGTTGTGTAACATTTCAAAATTTGGGGAAAAGGCCAGTTTGGACTAAATCAATCCCCAGTTACTCACCTGACTTCTGTGGAATTCAAAGTAAATATTGTCATATTGCCTAATATATTGCACACTTAATTTAATGAAAACTTCCCTTTTGAGAAAATTCATCTTATTCAAAATTGATCTTATTTCAGTGAATTAGAAACAAGGTCACATATTCACCAAACATGTGTGATGGCTAGCTCTTATATCAGTATAACTGTTTGTGGCAAAATGTCACAAATCGTGAAATCTTTTTGATATACTTTGTCATATTTGACAATCTAAGTCATTATGATAAGCAAATGGATGATGAATGAAAAAAACATGAAATTCTCCCAAAACATACCTCATAAGGGATATATGTAACTCAGCTATATCCCCCAAAACATACCTCATAAGGGATATATGTAACTCAGCTATATCCCCCAAAACATACCTCATAAGGGACATATGTAACTCAGCTATATCTCTCACAATATACCACATAAGGGATATATGTAACTCAGCTATATCCCCCAAAACATACCTCATAAGGGACATATGTAACTCAGCTACATCCCTCAAATCATACCTCATAAGGGATATATGTAACTCAGCTATATCTCTCAAAACATACCTCATAAGGGACATATGTAACTCAGCTATATCTCTCAAAACATACCTCATAAGGGATATATGTAACTCAGCTATATCTCTCACAACATCCCTCATAAGGGATATATGTAACTCAGCTATATCCCCCAAAACATACCTCATAAGGGACATATGTAACTCAGCTATATCTCTCAAAACATACCTCATAAGGGACATATGTAACTCAGCTATATCCCCCAAAACATGCCTCATAAGGGATATATGTAACTCAGCTACATCCCTCAAATCATACCTCATAAGGGATATATGTAACTCAGCTATATATCTCAAAACATACCTCATAAGGGACATATGTAACTCAGCTATATCTCTCAAAACATACCTCATAAGGGATATATGTAACGCAGCTATATCTCTCACAACATCCCTCATAAGGGACATATGTAACTCAGCTATATCTCTCAAAACATACCTCATAAGGGACATATGTAACTCAGCTATATCCCCCAAAACATGCCTCATAAGGGATATATGTAACTCAGCTACATCCCTCAAATCATACCTCATAAGGGATATATGTAACTCAGCTATATCCCTCAAGTACATACTTCATAAGGTCATTAAAATGAAGATATGTTCCCCAAAACAAATTAAAAGTAAAATCATTTACAGTATTGTGAATATTTATATTCCATCTTACCATTAGGTATTCTTGCTATGATGCTACTGGGAATAAGTATCAATCAATGATACAAACCTGGGTTGGGCAACTTTTTGCAGTCACTGTTCGACTTTCTCAAATCATAAATCACCACTCCATTTATATATCTTTCCTTAATTATCTCAAAGCTTTTAATCATAATGATGCATGAGGACATGAAGAATCAGGGTAGCAAGCTAATGATTGTGTAAAATTCTAAGTAACATCAAATTGATGTTTTTCTTCTCTCTTTTATTTCTATCTTTTTATGCCCCCAGATTGAAAGATTGGGACATATTATTTTTGTACTGTCAATTTGTCTGTTGTCATCTTTAACCTTGCACATAACTATTGCACCATAAGAGGTAGGACTTTTGTATTTGGTATGTGAGTTCCTTGTGACACGACCTTTCTGGTGGTACCACATGTTTTGACCATTTGACCTTGACCTTTGACCTACATTTGAACAAGAAGTGCTTATATATAGAACTGACTTCAGAGACAGGCTCAATTATTACAAAAAAGTATAAAGAAAAGAATCAGATGTAAAGAGGCCTTATGTATGTCTACTACTTACTGTTTGGCACTTTATGAAAAGAGGATTTTGTACGATGACTTTATCAATATGACATGTTAGGGTTAGGGTAACATGTTAACTAGCCAAACAACAATCCTTCTGATAAAATATCAACTGGCAAGCTCCTACAGTTAGAGTGTTGGCCTGTATAACCTCAGGTGAAGATCAGAGGTTTGTGGTTAGACTCTCCCTGCCCATGGCAGCTTGTGTTCCACATGACACTTAGGTCTAGATTTAGATCTGGATGACAATTGCAGCAAGCCTCTGATATGTGGTTATGTGAGGTAGTCACAAAGAAATCCCAACCCAAATGCCCTGGCTGTTACCAGGGTGATAAACTCAGTATAAAAAGCATATATAAGACTCATGATTGTTCATATGAAGCTGTTTGACTCCTGTGACCTTTAAAGCATGTCAAAGTCACAAGAAGAGGTTGTCATTTAAACGGAGAAGCTGATATCAGACAATGGATGACCATTTATCTCTGCATAAGCTTCCATGCTCTTTGGGTGTTTTATAATTAGTCTCTAAAGAACAAAGATGTCCACATACCAAAATAATGATTAAGTAGTGTTAGTGAAGGAATCCAAATAAATGGGAGCTACAGTATTACAGTAACAGCTAGTCACTTTAATTGTCTAGCATAGTAAAATAGAAAGACATGCCTTTACATTAAAATGACATATGATGCTAGAAATGGTCCTGAAGCAAAGACTGAACAAATTTTTCATGAATGAGTGAAAAGATCGTGTCCAGGATAACTGTGGATATGTAACATGGATACATTTAGAAACGGACATTATGGAAGAAATTATTATCAAACTATAAACTGAATGAGAGGTGTAAAAAAAGCCCACACATTTAATGTTAAGGTTTAAGTCAGTGTCTCATTAAATATGGACAATGTCTATCAATTTCCATCAATTCAATTTTCACAACTTGCGGGAGCATTAAATCACATCCAAATATGCACCTGGGTATTCTTTAATTACACAGCAACTGATACACTGACACACCAATACTTTATCTCTCATTTCATTAGTTGTTTCAATGTATTTCTTGTGAGCAATTTGCAGGAGCATATCATCAATTGATAATATTGTTTGCAGAAAGTTATATTTTTGCTAGAGAAAGTGTTTTATACATAAGCATAAGCACTCATAGTACACAATATTCATAAAAGTTAATAAATGGAAGAAAAATCAGTCGGAATGTTACACAAAGAATTATTACAGAAAATGTTTTCACTTTTTCAGGATTTCTTTGTGGTCTTGATATTACCTGTTATGCAAGTACATGTGTAGCCTCCATAGGTGTTCTGGCACTTTCCATAGGGCTCACATGGTGGAGTCGTCTGGGCACATTCATTCACATCTTCCTGGCATGTCAAGCCGGAAAACGCTGAGGGACATCGGCATATACCTCCCTCACATTCCCCACCGTTCTGACACACTGGACAAGGGAGGGTGTTCTCACAGTGATCGCCAGTGTAACTGAAAGTACCACAGTAACAAATAATCAATGTTAAAAAGTGCTAATTGACTATGTTAGATATCATCCTATATAACATGACAATTATCTGTGGTGTATGATCTATTATAACATGACATCACAGTACGAGAGCACATTCAGATCAGACAGTAGACTGACAACTTCAATTATCTTTTATTGACTTCCAGTCTGACCTTCAAATGACAAGGCAATAACCTTTGTCAAGGTCTTGAGGATAAGACAATTTGTTTTTCTAAGGTTCAATAGCTTCAATAATGACCACTGGTTACTTCCCTTTTCAGAGCTACTCTGTGATTACACAGTAATTACATGCTTACATAATTAGGTGTGAGTAGAGATATTCTATTTATTGATGGATTGGATGGTGTCACAAATGGTGTATACCAAATAAGGTTGCACCATCAAATTGAGATGACTATATTGTTACTGTAACATTTACTTTTGTACAGTTATTATCATAGAATTAATTGACACATTTTATCACGCTCCTCGGCAATGATGAGTTTTCTGAAATGAAGCAGGCATCTATAGGTCGACCTTTTGTTTACATTTGATAACCACTACTTGTTTATCCAACTCAGTACTTTTTATCTCCGTGCTTTCCTCTACTAATGTCACTATCTATCTAGTATTTCAATGCCCTGATGTAACACTTCCTAAATTCAGTGACTACCTGGAAGTACTTCCCTAACCATATCCCCAACCACCCATTTTCCACATTTTAATTCTATTTTCTATTTCACAAGGCTGGCGGTGTCCTAAAGCATTACCTAAAATTTCCTATTCCATGTTTAATACCTTCCTCCTATAACATAATTTTCTCTCTGACATCAGTGCCCCTTGAAGTAGTCCCCAAACCAGTGTTTCTCACTTCTAATATAATTCATGACCGAATGACTCTTCCCACCCCCACCCCACAAAGTATCCCAAACCAGTGCTTTTTCTGTCTCTTTTGTAATTTTCCATTCAATGTTTCAGTATTTATTTTCATATCTAGATATTGATAACTGATAAAGAAACCAGTTACATATACTTGTAGCAAAACCTTTTATTTTGGACAGTCAAATTTTAAACATAAATAAACAACTTTTCTGTCACCAGTGACAAGAAAAAATGAATTGGAGCAAAAAGATTGTATTAAGGTTTTATGTTTAAGCCTATGTTAACCTAACTGATTTCAAAGTGAAATTGTCTGGAATTGTAAGGCCATTCCTAATGTGGCAAATTGATTACTTCAGGCGTCATCAATCCTCACCATCACACTTAGGGACACCAATGTTTTAAGTTATGCAAGAGGAAATTCCAGTAATCTAGAGAGGAGGATAGCTATCATCAAATTACTTCTGAGTCATATGTGCTACACTGCCACCCTTCTCTCATTTGACAGCACATTCTTTCATTAAATCTTGCGTCTTCTGCAATGAAATTCTGGAGATCAAAGGAATTTTTCGTTTGAAGTTTGTGGCAACCAACAAAAAAGCAATTTCTCTCATCCCTCATCATTATGATATTGTCAATCATGACCATTTTATAGAATCCTGTTCATGCTTTGCTACCTCCAGACACACAAGAGTTTTAATTCAACAAAGAACCTTAATACCCTGGTAGTTGATTTTCGTCCTCAAAAGGATGCACAATTATTCGGTTTCCTAATCCGGTAAAATTTATAGCTTTTGTCTGCATTTTATTGTCAGCTTCTTTCAATTTTAAAACATGAGCAAATATTTTTTCAACACTAGGGATTTAACTTGTCAGGTTTTTAAGAACAAAGAATGTTTATTGTCTTTGCATGAAAATGTTATTAGGTACTCATTGTTAGCTACAATGTAGAGCATGTTCAAACACTACTTTAACAGCTGAAGCTTTTTCTGTTGGGCCACACCTGAAACTTCAGGATAACAAAAGGAGAGAGGAAGATGTCTTTGCCCATATAGAGACAGTTTTTGAAAAGACTTCACAGCAAATGTTTAGCCATATTTTATTTTTACTTTGCATTCGCTGCTGTACACGATAGGTGCTTTGTAATTATCACATGTGATAACATATACAATTGTAATTCTATATATAGCTTTACAATTCATGCAGTAGCATACCATCAGGATACATAAAATGTGACCAGAAACTATGCTTTCCCACAGGATCTTTAAGACAGCTGATGTCATAACAAATAAATCAACTTATGATTTATCTGATATACAGTATGCAAGGCTTTTTAGCCTCATTCAGGGAAATGAATTGCTGAATCGTGAAGGAAACTTTCAGGAGTATATTGCAAATGTTAGGAAATATGGAAATTAGGAAATATGAAATGATTTCAATCGGGAACAGGGCCTTTTATCGACCCCTAAAAACCCTCAAAAAGCCCTGGTTGATTTGTCACAGGAGATCTTTATACTGATGGTATGCACAGATGATCTTATCAAGTCATTCTTACAACCATAGCTTTCTTGTCTTATCATGGAAATAAGGCTGTACATGGCTTTCTTGTCTTATTATGGAAAAAAGGCTGTACATGGCTTTCTTATCCTATTTTGGAAATAAGGCTGTACATGGCTTTCTTAGGCCTTCTTATCCTATTTTGGAAATAAGGATGTACATGGCTTTCTCATCCTATTTTGGAAATAAGGCTGTACATGGCTTTCTTATCCTATTTTGGAAATAAGGCTGTACATGGCTTTCTTAGGCTTTCTTATCCTATTTTGGAAATAAGGCTGTACATGGCTTTCTCATCCTATTTTGGAAATAAGGCTGTACATGGCTTTCCTGCACTATTTTGGAAATAATGATGTATGTGGCTTCGAATTTAGGGGGAAAAAAATCAGACAAAATCTCAGTTTGGGGAAAATAAGAAAACATTACGATGATTAAATTAAAATCACAAATGATCATTTTATTTCTGTCCTATGTACCTCTTAATATATTGTTGAAGCAATTACACAACCATTTGAATCCAGAACTGACTGCCAACACTGAACTTATTTCTACCATCCAAATTTGTTTGACATTTGGGAATTTTAATGTTTGGATCGAAAAAGATTTTGTCAGAGGGAATTGGGCCTGTAGTCATGCCCAAATCCTGCAGAAGAAATGCCTGAACACCACAACCATATATACTGATTCATTCAATTAAATCTCCAAATAGTTTTACTGTACTTAATTAATGCACATTACTGGAGCAACTTTATTTTTGTTATATATTAAAAAGATAGAAGATTTGCTTGCTGCGTGGTTATAGAATAGGGTATAAAAAACTATATCTAACAAACAAATAAAACATACCCTAATATAGTCTATGGAGTGTAGTGAATACAAAAAATCTTTCCTGTTATTAAGATTGCACAATGACCACATTTCATATTAACAAATCTACCTCATCATAAGAAATGGTGTGTCTTATATGTGGATCAAATCGAAAAATCGCTAAAACCAGCCCTGCGGCTCCTACTTGGGTGCCGACTTATAGCCTGGAAAATATGGTATCATGACAAACGTTTATCTTGACAGATAATTTATCTTGCTTCAGTAAAAAAATGAAATGCATATCATTTACAGAAAAATGTTTCCACTTTTAAAATCAAGTTTCTGTCATTTACAGATAAAATAGATGTGTTCTATCACCAATCCCTCCATCTGTGGTTTGTAATAAACGAGTATAAAATTATATCAGAGGAGAAACACCTAAACAGATGTTATGTGATTCTCTATCAAGCATAGGGAGTTCTGGAAACGTCCTTCCATTGTATGTTAATGGAAGTATTGTGCACTAATTAGTCGCCAGTTGCAATGAGAGGATGCACAGCTAAACAACACAACTTTCTCTGATCGGCAGTATGGCTGTTACCAGTCTGAAGTGTATAGACAATGTCTAGTACAGTCTGCAAACAGAACTCTGATATTTCTATTCTAGCCTATCAAGAAATGTTGGGACTCATCTCCAGATGCTTTACTCAGCATACTGAAGGACTGCCTTAACTCTAAAACTATCTTAACTCTCTAAAATCATTTACCAGTAGTACAGCCTAACTCAGCATACTGAAGGACTGCCTTAACTCTAAAACTATCTTAACTCTCTAAAATCATTTACCAGTAGTACAGCCTAACTCAGCATACTGAAGGACTGCCTTAACTCTAAAACTATCTTAACTCTCTAAAAACATTTAACAGTAGTACAGCCTAACTCAGCATACTGAAGGACTGTCTTAAATCTAAAACTATCTTAACTCTCTAAAAACATTTAACAGTAGTACAGCCTAACTCAGCATACTGTAGAACTGTCTTAACTCTCTAGAAAATATCTACCTGTTATATAGCCTAACTCAGCATACTGAAGGACTGTCTTAACTCTAAAACTATCTTAACTCTCTAAAAACATTTACCAGTAGTACAGCCTAACTCAGCATACTGAAGGACTGTCTTAAATCTAAAACTATCTTAACTCTCTAGAAAACATCTAACAGTAGCACAACCTGATAACAAAACTTGCATTCCAAGAACTCTCTTGACTCTAGAGATGTCTTAACTCTCTAGATAACATCTACCAGTAGCACAGACAAGCAACTAAACTCAGCAAAACAACAGCTGTCTAACTCTAGAGCTGTGTTAATTCTCCAGGAATAAGTACAGACTTATAGCTAAAATAAGCTTACCAAGAACTGTCTGAAATCTGTAGAAAAATATCTATATAGCTACCTGTAATGCATACCAAGGGCTGTCTTACTCTCTAGTAGATATCTACCAGTATGATCACAGTGTGATAACTATACTCTGATATTTCTGTATATCACATACCATGATGTCTCTGTGTATACCATGAACAGTCTAAACTTTGTCATTTTTTGAAAGAATGGAAGACGTAAGTACTTTTTGTACGTCTGTAATAACCATGTTTGGATGGTGATTCCTTTGCCCATATATATTCATATCTTCAAACTAAGAGCATCCATGTTCTTTCCATTAAATTTTCAGGTATAACAAAATGATC